TAAACAACTTGTTTGTCAACTATTCTCTGAACAATGTCAATTAAAATCTCTTCGACTTGATATTAGCGATGAATATGAATTTATAAATACTGATATTCATACATGTTTAGCATCAAACTCTTATCTTTCTTCCAATTTTATTCGATATCAACCTCAATCTTGTTGTATGACTCTTCGTCGTTTATTTATTCGACTTAAGTATACATATTTTCTTGAAAATGTTATTGAACACGTGCCCAATCTCGAGCAAATGTCAGTTTAGTTTGATTATTCATTGTTAGGTAATTCATTAGGGAAATCAAATATTGAAACCTCACGTCAATCATATGAAAATTGGTTTAATAAAGTAAAAAAAATCATCTTTTCTATTTTATGAATTTCTCAAAATAATTTTTTCGTTTGATTAATAAAAACAATCGGATTCTTTTAAAATACCAAAGCTACGATGTTTTAGTTTAAAAACTTGCATTTGTGAAGATATGGAATTGTTTTATTTGAAATGGCTTCTTAACAATTTAAATTATGTTGAGAAACTTCAAGTTCATCTTAAAAGTGATCAATTACTCGAAACAAGATGTCAAAACATATGGAAATCTGTTATTGATGCAAATTTTATTCTTCAATATTGTTTACCTGATAAAATAATTAATTTAATTTATTTCGATTTTTATATTTATTCAAAATGTAAATTATCATTGAATGATATAGAACAAATAATTAATTCATTTAAAATTCACTCATTTTTTTATTTCACATTAATGGACAAATGTTAAATGTTTATTTGATCCAATCATGTCATGTCAACATCTTTTCTCTTCTTTTACTAATACACTTCAGTTTTCTGATAGTATCATGTAAGATATTTATCTTTATGAAAACTCTGAAAACTTTTTTACTTCAACTATATTCTTTTATTTTTAGTAATTATCCATATATTTTCAATTGGCCACATATCGACTATATTTCGTTTGACTCATATCCATCATTTTATTTATTTCTCGAACGACTCAATCAATTATCTCCTAATACTTCTTGTATCAAAGTACACAAAAGTAAATTACATGTTATTTCAATGATTCTCTTGATAGAGAAGGAGTAAATAGATGACAAAGTTCAACATATTCACATCATTTTCTAATAATTCTTTCGTATCTAATTTCTGATCACATAACGATACGGAAAAATAGAAAGTATTAGTTTTCATTTAAACTATTATATTAGAAAGAAGATTTCTTATGAACATCCATCTACTTTAGTTTCAATTCAATCTAATGGATAAATACAAAACTATATTTAAACTCAATAAAATTTCTTGTTTTTTTTATAGAGTATAGAATGGATTTTGACCAGTCAGATCTCCTGATATCATTAAAAATCTTATGCAAAATGAGACAATACAAGAACATTGATATGTCTTTTCGAAATGTTACAAAAATTCAATTTGGAACACATTTTGATCGGATAAACGGTTAGTGTTGATTTTATTTTTTCCCTATAAGATTTCAAACAAAGAAACAAACAAGGCTTTTTCTTCATTTATTACCAAAAAACATATCTACTGCTTTTTTATAGTTTTAAATTTCATGTAAAACTACTTTTCTTACAATAATTGCCATGAAATGAGCTTCTTATGTTTTGTATTACAGATTTGATAATTCACAGTTATAATGAGTATATTAATGTGAATTTTGCAATCACTAATACTGAAAAGAATTGTGTAGTCATGAAGAAAAAACGATTCATGGGTAAAGTGGTTGAGTTCTATCAAGTTTAACTATGAGTATGAAAGCTCTGTATTCGAACCCGCTCAATGTTGAAATAGATTTTTCATCCATCAAAGATCGTCATCTACTCGGATACACATACTTATATGATCTGTCATTATTCTGTAGACCATGATTTATATCTGTTCTGCTCTGTTTCTACGCATTTTCCTGCGTAAAAATCAGTTTTGAAATCTATATCTGCTATTTAAGACCGTACTTGGTTGTTGAGTACCAATAGATCATAAATCAAAAAATGATTTACATGAAAAATTTTGATAAGGGATTTAGTATCAATTGAAGACAGCAGTAGAGAATATTGATTCTTGAGATACGAAAAGCGACAATTAAGCACTACAACAATAAATCATAGTATAGAATTAGTTGCGTGTTTAAAACAAACGTGATTTTCTTTTACTTCTCATAAGTTTAATTTACACACATGTGATTCAACTACACACACAGCACAGTGTAAGGATGAGTGTGACAATTGAAAAATGAAGATAAATAGATCATCTAGCCGGCAAACGATAGCGGAATGTCGATAAGAACTTTTTGTTTTTATCGAAATGCTAAACACAAAAATTATATTCATTATGAAGTAATGAACATTACAGAAAATAAAAGTTCCAAAATAAGGAAAATTAAATGAATTATGATAAGTTTCTAAACGAGCTACTACATACACTCATGTAACACGTTTCCTGCATAATTAAAAGAGCTTGGTAAACACTCTTCTTTATATATTCAAATCCAATTTTTCTTATCCTTCAATAGATTGTTAAGTATTTTATGAACTCTCTGAATTATTTCTGTAATACATATAAAGATTTTTTGGCAGCTTCATTTTTTGGCATTGCCATCAATTCTACATGCGACTAATTGTCGTTCAATCAATTATCGTAGATCTCTTTAGTTATTAATGATAAAAATTGGACGAAAAGTACCATGAATTGCTTACAATTGAAAGATATTTTTGATCAAGATCAAAAACGTTGTATTTAAAAGAGTTGACCGTTTTATATAAAATAGAAAATGATTAAAAAATTTTATATCTTGTCTTTACTTCTAAATAAAAAACAAAAATAATTTACTTAAATATCTCTTTAGATTCAGGTTAATTTCAAATAATTAATGAATAATTTGAAATACTTTTTTTTGACACATTTAATTAATTTTGAATTTATTGACATCACAATAGTTGAATATTATGCTTGTATATGATTGATAAGCAAATAATAGAATTCTTTTCGTGATGTTTAGTAAATATAAAATAAAGATTAAAATATTTGTGAATATTTTAATCTTTATATGAATTTCATTTCTGCGACAGCAATAAACTATTTTATAAAGGATATGAAAATATGTCATGAATTAAATATGAAAAACAATAATTCGAGTAGAAAATGATCGATTATTCTCTCAAACAGTTTTATTCTCAAATTGTAATAAATACAAATTAAATAGCTGAAACAAGACTAGCAAAAGTGAAATAAACAGTGACGAAATGGATCAATTCTTTTTAAAGTGATTTCTGGATTTTGTAAAAAAAAACTTCAATGACTACACATAGAATAATTTTTTGTTTTAAATATATAGCTGTTTCATAAATTTAATCAGTCATATACATACATCAAACTTTATTAATAAGTGTCAGTTCGTTGTAAAGTCCAAACTGAATTATCTTCACCTAGTATTCGTTCAAAGAGTTAGTAGTTAGAAAATTTTTCTTCTATTCATATACTAAAACTTCGCCCATAGTACAAGACCTTATGGAGCGTACAATGTGCTGGACATAATAGAAGACTTCTCCTAATTTTTCCTTGGTAATCTTGAGAAAGCCCTGGAAATTCAGAAAGATTTTCCAGAAAAGTTTTTAACTGGAACTCGTTGAAAAATGTGTAATCATAATTGCAGGGTAGTCTGAAACAAATCATATAAACAATAAATTTTAGAAAATTAGATTCTAATTAAAAATGTGTCGAGTAGAATAAGTTTATTTCGTTGTTTAACAAATATTCTTATGATAATGACGCAAAATGTAAATTTTTTTTTTCTAGCTAAACGCGAGACATCACCAAATCGAAATCAGATACGTGAAAAGTACTTGCTCATCTCATTTCAATGACTGTACAACTCAAATATCTTCTGGTTGAACGATTCGATTGGCTTTTGCATGTTGCTCAATACGTAAGGCTTTGCTTTGTTTATGATCTTTTTT